TAGCAATCACTACATTGTTAAGTTCTTTGAAAGCCTTTTCTATCTTTAGACCCACATCCGTACTGAGCCAGTTAAGAGGAATATTTTGAACTTGTGCCCACAATTGTAGTTCCTGAAAACCAGGGTGTTTGCTATTGATGTCTGCACTCCATTCCTTAAGGATGAGGTACTGATTCTCAAAAATCCAATTTGTTCCATTTGAAACCTTCTTCATATCATCACGATGTTGAAAGATAAACTGGAAATAATTGGGGCTGAGTTCCTTTACCTCCATAGGTTGACTGAGTTTCCATATCTGTGACATTGCTCTCTTGATTCCTATCCAGCTTGCAGGTCTGTCTCCCACAATTTTACTGAATAGACTTCTTTGACACTCATCATTGCTAGTTTTGATGTCTTCTTGAGCAATATCAAAGATCTTATCTTCATTAGCTGACAGCGAGAAGTTATGTAATCGGTCCGATAGGTCTGAGTCGAAATCGGTCATTATAACAGCAATAGAAATAGAAAAAAAGGGTCAATATGTAGCAGATGCGGAGATAGTAACAATGGCTAGTGATTCAAGTTTCAATAAATCAAAGCAAGAAAGATAACAGGAAATCTGAACTTAAAACAAAAAAGCTCTCAAAGAGAGAATCGCAGCTCTCAAAGGGAGAATATAGGTATGCAAGGTCTTAAATGATCAAAATATAAAGTTAGGGTTCAAACATCCCCTTAAACTGGATAAAAAAAACTGGCCTAACATATTAATTAAAATAAAAACTAGATAAAAGGGAGAGATTAGTTATCTCCCTCGTGTGCGAGTGCGGCTTCCCTCCGCATGCGTAGCCTTCTCTCCTTTTCTCTCTGTTGCTGCGTATTTTTCCTCTGGCTTTCTGTCCGTGTCCCAAATAATTCCTCGCCGCGTGAGAGACCTCCTTTTTTTGAGTGCTCACGGCTAATATATTAAAATCCTACAAGACTCAAAGTCTCCTCATGAAATTAAACTCTCCAGCCCACAAGTCATCCTTACGTGAGTGTCATTTCTTGCTGCTTTTGTAAAAAAATAATTGCCAAGACTAAAAAGTCTCCAGCCCAAATAATTCTCCCTAAAATCCACTTATTAATGCCTGCGCCTAATGTTTTATACCCTCTTGGGCCAATTAGCTTAATATCCATTAATAATGAAAGTAGGCTTAATCAGTCTTGAGCTCCTTTTAATCAACTCCATCGTTGAGCCCAATTTTCCATGTACTGAGGCGCCTCAGTTATTGCTCACGTGCGTCAACGGCTTCACGTCTACAAAACACTCTACTGCGCTGAAAATAAATAGAAAATAACCAACTCAAATGAATCCATCAAAATAATAAATATGTCGAAAAATATAAACGTGCGAATAAACAAGTATATAAAAATACACTTCTAAATATATAAAATATGCACATTTTTCGACCTATCAGCTTTGGTAGGTAAAGCCGTGGTAATTGAGTACATAGTTTTTTTAAGGACTGTACTGCTCTAGTTGCATTGTCTGTCCATTTCCATGGTACTTTTTCTGAAATCATTTTTTTTAGTAATTTTATTTCTTTTGCAAGACTTTTTATAAAACTTTTTTCTCCAATATATGTTAACATCCAAGAAATTTTTGAATTTGATTTCTGTTTTGAAGCTGATCTGGAAACTGGTGTATTTTTTCAAGTAGATGTTTTTTAGGCTTGATATAGCCTCCCTCGACTATTTTCATTCCCAAAATTTTGTTTCTGTTTTGCAAATTCTTACTTTTTCTTTACTTAAAATAATTTCTTTATTTCCTAACTGTATTAAAACTCTTGCAAGTTCTTTTAAATGATCTTCTTTTGATCCTTGAGTAAAAATAATTATATCGTCTATATAAGAAAGACTTATTGATTCTAATCCCTTAAGATTATCATCCATAAATCATTGATATATGCTAGGTGCTTGTTTAAGTCCAAATGACATTACATTATATTCATAGTGGTTTTGAGGTGGACAACTAAATGCTGTTAAAGGTTTAGTTTTTTCATGTAACCTTAACTGCCAATATCCTGATTTAGCATCTAATGTACTATACCAGTTTGCCTTTTTAATCCTACTAAAAATAAAATCTTGTCTTGACAACTTATATGCATCTCCTTTGGTAGCTTTATTCATTTCTTTGTAATTTATAACCATTCTTCGTTTTCCTCTTTTTAACTCGTTATGATTTTCTACATAGAATGCTGGTGCACTATGTGGACTTGTACTAGGTTGTATAATATCATTTTCTAACATCTTAGTAGTTTATTCTTGAAATTCTTTAACATCTCTTTCTGTATATGGTATCCTATTTGGCACATTGACCTCTTTGCTAGGATCTATAAGTTCTATTTTTACTATCATGTTATTCGTATTTTTATTTGGATCTAGTGGATTTTGACTACATATATTTTCTAATAGCTTACTAACGTGTTCTTCTAATGTTGTACTTATTACTTTGTAAATTTGAAATGAAACTTTTCTTAATATCTCCCCCCTTATGAAAGAAGATGTATTATATATTTTTGTAGTAATTATTTTACTAGACTGTGTATCTAGTTGTGGACATCTAAGACTTATACTATTTAATCTTTGAATAAATGGACTGTATAACTTAAGAAAGTTATTTCCAATTATTAATGGTAAACCTGTATTTTGTTTATAAAGACTTGGTAAAGGAAATCATTTTTCTTCTATTAACAATACTAAGTCCGTTGCTCTATAATCTATGCTTATTGTTTTGTTATTTGCAATTCTTACTACAATTGGTTTATCTAATTTCTTCCGATATTTACTGAGTAATATGGATTTTTTTGCTAGACATATCATTGCTCCTATCTCTATATATGCTAGTAGAAATTTGTTAAATAATTTAACTTTTATAAATGGACTGTTTTTACTCATCTTCTGATTCAGATGTTTCTAAATCACTATCTGTTTATGATTCTAAATCATATATATCAAAGTCTAATAGTTCGCCTTATTCGTATTCTTCTTCTATAGGTTTATAACTTAAAGAAAATATCATTTTAACTTCTTTTCTTTTTCTGGCATGTTTTTAGGACATTCATTTGCACAGTGTCCTATTTCTTGACATTTCCAACATCTACAATTCTTTTTTCCTTTAGGACAATATTTAGGTTTTCCTAAGTATTTTCCTTGTTTTCTAAACTTTCCTTTATATATTGTTTTCCACGGTTTTCTAAATGTCTTATATCTTCTTGGTCTATATCGTCTATTAAACTTATTGTATTTATGATATCTTTTCTTTTTGTATGGGTTATAACAACCAAATTCTTATGGTACACTTTTTAATTGTTTGCAACATCTTGGATCGACCTTAATCATTTCATGGTATTCTAATTTCCTTATACTAAGTTCATCTCTATATTCTTTTGCATATTTTCTAAAATTCCTAGAGTTTTTTCTTCTTTTGTTTCACAAATTTTCTTCTGAATATTTTTATTCATCTCATATTTAATTTTACTTTCAACTATTTCTATTAGTCCTGATCGATCCTTAATTTTATAGAAATTTTCTCGTACTTGGCAGAAAAAGTTTTCTATGTAGCATACATTACATAGCTTCATATTTGTTAGAAATCTACCTGCCTTATCTTTTTGTGTTTCTTTTGATTCTTGCCCTTTAATTCCTAAAAATTCTTTTAATAAATTTTTTGCTAATTCTCTTAAAACTGCTATTTTATATTCTGCCCCTATTTCTAGACCACTGGCATCAAGATTTAATAAAACTTGAGTATTTTCTAGATAATCAAATAATGCTGCAGATGTTTTGTATCTTGTATAATTAGCAAAATCGGTTAATGTCATTCCATTTATCATTGAATCATTAGTTTGAACTAATAATTTTAATTGGTTAGTCCAAGTGACTATTAAGTCTTCTGAATTAGTTGCACATTCTATGTTTAATATTCCATTAGATAAATTTCTTTCTTCTTCTAAATGTGCTGGTGGTATATTTTTCTTTATTTTTTCTTGATGATAACTATAATCATTTCTATATATAAAATGTCTAAAACTGCTTTCTACATAATTATGCTGAGAACTAGATGCTTCATTGTTATTTGTTTTAGGTCGTTTTGGTGATAATGGTGGTGTTATATGAGGTTTTTTTATCAGTCATATTAAATGTTGGTTCATCTTCATCTTCACTATCTATTCCATAAATTATTCCTTGTTTATCATTATTATCTATTTTTGCCATTCTAGTTTCTTCAATATTGCATTTTTCTAATAATTGAGGTAACCTACCTATATCATCCATTAGAACTTGTTGGTGGTTCTATTTGAATTAGTTTAAATAATTTTTTCCGTATTTTTTTTTGTACTGAATCTTGTAGTTCTTTTATTTCTCTAATTTTTCGAATGTTTCTAATTGAATTTTTTTTTATTATTTCCATAAGTGTTCCTATTTGTTCTGAGACTCTTGGTGGATCGCTCATAATTTATAATTATTTTCTTTTATTAGTCTTTTTATATGAGATTTTTATGTTGACTTTCCTATTAGCAAAATATTGTGTAAATATAATAATTAGAACCTTGAGAAGTAGTGTGCAAAGTCGCTTTCGTCCTTATATGTTTGGAAAGAAAAAGTTGAAAAGAAGTTGTGTCCAAAACATAAATAAGGATCGTAAATAGAGTCATTTCCTCATTTTTAAGTGTATTAAAAAAACATCACAGGGTTGGGCCTAGACATAACCAAAATCCAATTTCAAGTTGGAACTACCAATTCAAGTCGTGTTATGGGAGTTCTAAATGCCAACTCAATGAACCGGCGGTTCCAAGCCGATCCGGTTAATTTGGCTTATTGGATTAGCCCCTTTGCCTTTGTCAGAAAGTTAACCAGGGGTGTTCCTGTAAATTCAATAGCCGACAGTGGGAAGGGTTTTTCCGTAATTAAGTCCCGACAGTTTTTACGCATAAAACGGGGTCGATAGGTGAAAATTAATCATACGCCTAATCCTAATTTTCGTCCCTTTTTTTATGCCTATTTACGGATTTTGGATCTCTCTTTAAACTTGGGATTTTAGATCCGTAAAAATAAATCCACTACATTGAGAGAAGTAAGAAGAAGCTCCAATTAATTTTTGTTTTTTGTTTTTGAAAATAAAATTTCGAAACGACGCTGTATTCTGTGCCTCCCTTCCCGCCATGGTCGCACAGGTAGCTGAAACCCAGGCCTCTGCTTCTCAACAGTTGGCCCTTCATGTGCCGGAATCCTGCCCGGAGCCCGAAAGCCCGCTCGACAGTGCCAAGACATTGATATGTGCCCTTAATTTCCTCTCTCGTAATTTGCCCTTGCCCCAACACGTATACGACGCCGTTTCCTCCATTTACGAGAACACCTCCATTGACGGGGGCCATGACGCCCCCGCTGATGTCGGTCGCGATGGAGAGGGTGGCGACAGAAGCGGGGCAGCTTCGCCGCCGCGAAAGGTTAGTTGTCTGATTTTGGACATCTGTATGAACTTTGAGTTTGGACAATGAGTGAAGGTTTTCAGATTTTGGATTGTTGTGTTTTATCGGTTAGTTGGTTTGGTTTTTACGAATTTGTGGTCAATTTTCTGTCATTTCCTTTTGTTCTTTCAAAATTTTTGGGATTTTGGCAACTTCTTATTGATGTTTAAGTCTACTCAGGATTGCATTTGATTGTTTCATTATTCCTTAGACCTTTTGTTTAGTTGTAGTTATGTTTAGCAGGTTACGGGAGATATTTATAGGTTTAGAGCAGTATTCAGTTTATTCTAATCTTTTCTTTCATTTGTAAGTTTCTTGAAATGCAGTAATTTTATTTGACCAGTGGGTATTAATTAGTTTCACTCAGAATTGAGGCTACTTGGGTTATACTCAATTGTTTTCAGTTTTGAGATTTTTGCTTCAGTGGTTGTTTGAAGGGGAAGATGACATTATTACTTTGTTATTTGTTTGTTCTTTTCTTTGCAATTGAATTTGTGTAATTTCATATGATATTTTGAAGGCTTTGAAGGTTGGTTATAGATAACATGGTAACTGGTTGCAGTTTTTGTTAGGCTTCTGTGCATGTGGCTTGTTGTTTGTTTCGTTGAACAAGAAGAATTTTGAGTACTAGGTTTTTGAAATTCACGGTGATTGATATAAGCAGATTATTCCCATAGATGGTGATTGGGGTTGAGCTATCTAATTGTTTGAGCTTCGAAGGTTTGGTGGTTTAGCATAGTTGTTTCCCTAAGAGGAAGATTGCAGCTTTTGGTTTACAGTAATCACATCTTTTCTTCTTTTATTTCTTGGATAATTTTTAGATTAATTGGAAAACTGGGGTTATTGATACTGGTAATTGAGTCGGTAACTAATCCAGCTTGAGTAGTTTTAACTATTAAGATGGTTGTATTTTTGTTGTAGTGAAAATGTATAGAGAGGAAAGATCTACATTCTTGGTGTCTGTAAGAGTTCGGGTGTAAACAGTAAACATCTTTGTGTATATTTTCTTTTTCTCTGTTTAATTTTCAGAAAAGAATCTATTACAACCTGGAAATTCAGTTACTAATTCTTGTTTGTTAATTTATAACTGAGGTTGTTTGTTTGTTAATTCCGAAAATGCCCTTGTCATTTTAGGTAGTTCATATTCTTTTTAGTTTTGTCTTCTTGCCGGGTAGGCGGTTTGTGTTTGGTTATTTTGATATGGAGATGGAGATAGTATAAGTCATTTGGATTTACGGATTATATTAGTAGTTGGTTATTTCACAATTTTATGCTAGGACAGAATAAATTATCTTAGACAGTGTCTTGCCACTTCCATCAAAAAGACCTAAGCTTGAAACATGAATTGAAAATACGAGTTTAGCTTATGGTGTAGCAGTACTTTTCTTATGTTTTTTTTAATCGAATCCAAAAGAACGGAAATGTCATTTCTGTTACTTAAATATTCAGTTTTGTGAATTATTTTTAAATTTTAATTAAAGAATGAAGACAGTGTTTCTTAGGGTGCAATTGGATACTAGTGAAAGGAATGTTTTCATCCACCATTCAAAAAATACATTATTTATCCATTTCACATTTTTTTACTATTTTTCTCTCAATTTTTCCAATACAATTTTTAAAATTAAAAATCAATCATTACTATACATTTTCTATGAATGTTACTATTCATTCACTCACAAATTTATAAGTTATAACTATCAATCATTATTTTACTATTTTTCTACCTCATTAGAATTAAATATTACTCTTTAAATCACATCATTTTACATTATTTAATTCATTAATTCTTCCACCAACTCTTCTTTCTCCAACATTTTTTTTTTTTTCACATTAAATATAGACAAAAGCACCCTTAGATTTCTTGATTTCTTTTTTTGTGCGTGTGTGTTTTTCTATGTGTTTGTTTTCCTTTTACTCATAGAAGATTGTAGATTCTAGTTTAGCCCCCACACCGTTACACTTGATTTTCTAGGAAGGGTAATTTCTTGGTTAAAATTGTAGGATTAACTTTTCTTTACCCTTTTAACCTTATTACGATCTCCGGTATATTCTGTATTTCTTTCCAGACTCTGCCAAAAGAGAAATCTGGTTTGTATGGTGGATATCGTGAAATGATTCTAGCTGTAATATTGCTCCCCTAATACTCAATTGGTACTCTAAGGCAGTAGTACAAATTGATGAAAAATTATATAAGTTTCTATGATGGGTAAAGTTAGATCCATAAAATTGGGAAGGGTCGTTGTGGGCAAGATTAATATCATTTTTTGGGTTAGAATTTCGATTTCCTAATACAGAAGTCGATGAGCGTTAAAGTTGGTATTTGAAGGCTTCTTTTTTCTTACTTTATGCAGTTATATTATCCTGATATATTCTCCTTGGGAGTTGCTTTTGTTTTAGCAACACATTTATGTTGATCCAGTAAACGTTGGTGCAGGTTAATTCGGATGTACCTACTTACGATGAGTTAATGTTGGATTTTGAGGATGCTGTGCTGCAGCAGAGATCGAGCTGTCTGCCTGGTTCGAGATTGTCGGACTTAAAGGAGAGCAGATATCGGGGCCGGATTCAGCATCGCTTAAAGGAACTTGAGGGTAACTAACCATCTTTGAGAAAAATCAATTAATTCACCAGTCAATCAATTTTGCTGATTTTTTTTTTTACTCATTTAATGTTACTTGTGTTCGATGCATTGATCCTTGTAGTCATGATCCTTGCTGCTTCTCTCTTTTCTATTGAGAATTTGAAAGCAGATGAAGCAAATTCAGTGGTTGAGCTTTTTGTATATGGATTTACTTAGTCAACCAGGGTACCAGGGTGGTGTTTGTCTTCATTGTTTGACTTCCTCTGGTCTTGTCCAAATCAAATCTCAGTATTGTACATTGCTTTTGTTGTGAACTCTACTAATTTTAGCAAGAATGCTGGTTGTGTCACAATATATATCCTTTTGAAACATTTCCATGGTTGCCATGATCTTTTTTAGCCCTGGAAAGGCCTTTTCCATATGTTTTTATTTCTTAGCTTAAGGCTTTTTCACGTCATATACTGTAATGATACCTATTTTTTAATTAAAGCTAATTTATTGTGTTTCCATTTTCATATTTGGAAAGTGTAGAATGAAAACCAATCATCATCCTTATGTTCTATTAAAGATGTATTTTGAAATGGATTTATACTGTTTTAAAGTCTGTGGAAGTGATTGGTTTCATCAAAATATTTATGCCTTTGTTGAGGATGGGGCATCTAGCTGACCTAGGTAGATATGGTAGTAGTGTAGTGGTGCAATTGACGATTCTGCTGTTAGGACTTATCACTTTCAGAAGGGCTGGAAATGAGGTTTGGAAGGGTAAAGATTAAACCCAAATGATGATGGCACTGCTAGGAAAAAGAATAAATTGTAAAACAAATTTTTTATAGCTCCTACTTGGTGCAAGATGAAAAAAAAAAAAAAAAACGAGTTTTTGTGGTTTTTTGTTTACTTTCTCATGTTGGGCAGTTGGCCAACATGGATCCTTCAAGTTTTGACTCAGTGGTATGTCGTTCTAGGGCCTTGTGCTGGGCAAACGGTTTCTAAGATAAAATGTGCTTTAGGAACAAAAGATCAAATAATGTTTCTGTCTACAGATTCTTTTTATTTGAAATCCAGTGACATTCTGCATTTTCTTAAAGGATTTATAACCAGTAATTCCGTAAAAAATCCTAGTCAGAAGTCTAAATCCTGGTTTATCTCTTTTGCAACATCTGTTCAACACATTAAAAGCCTGCTTGCAACCAATGTTCATTTCTTTTCATCTTTTTTCCCCTGGAAAACAGAGTTACCCACAAGCAGAGGGGAGGAGCTGCAATCAAGATGCTTGCTCGAGCTTTACGGACTTAAGGTACATTTGTTATCCCATATCAAGACACCTGATGGAAATGGTGCGGCTTGTATGCCGTTCTCTATGGCTAAGCATTAGGTGCAATTTGTTCTAATTCCTGCTATACAAATGATCTTGTTTCTCTCAGTTAGCTGACCTCCAGAGCAAAGTGCGCTCTGAAGTGAGTTCCGAGTACTGGCTCCGTCTGTATTGTTCAAATCCTGATAAGCAGCTTTTTGATTGGGGCATGATGCGATTACGTCGTCCTTTTTATGGTATTGGAGATGCTTTTGCAATGGAAACTGATGATCCCTTGAAGAAGAAACGGGATGCTGAGGTGCACTTTCTTATTATTTCTTTTGACGATTCTTTTTGTTTCATGGGTAGTTCATCTGCTTAGCAATTGTTAAGTAAGTGGCATCTGAAAGTTGCAATGTATGGTGTCATTCCTTGAAAAATACTCTTTTGTGTCTTGCAACTGATGAGTTATTTTTTCCCATGTACTGTCAGCGGCTGTCAAGATTTGAGGAAGAAGAAAAGAATCGTATTGAGACTAGGAAAAGGAAATTCTTTGCTGACTTACTCAATGCTGCACGTGAACTCCAATTGCAAATACAGGCTGCTCAGAAACGTCGGAAACAGAGAAATGATGGTGTTCAGGTACAAACTCTCGTCCTCAATTTTTCGTTCCTTTCTTATAAATTCTTTTCGCAAAGCACTAGTTTTCAAGTTTTTAAAATCTATGATTTATATATGTTGTGTTTTGGAAACGATTTGTGACTACAAAAGATATTTTTTCATTCTTTTCCTTTTTCTCTTGCCAAATGGAAACTGCAGTACCTCATGTGCGATTAGTTCAAGGAAATCCTTTATTTTACCATTCTATATTCTTCTACCAAATTGAGCTTGAGATTCTTATTAATAGACTCGATCAAACTTTATAGTTTGTTGTGGCATATCATCTCTTTCTGTATACCTTGTCAACGATTAGATGCTATAATGTAATCACTACTATATTCCCTTTCACGCAGGCATGGCATGGAAGGCTAAGGCAAAGAGCTACAAGGGCTGAAAAATTGAGGTTCCAAGCTCTGAAGGCTGATGATCAAGAAGCTTACATGAAAATGGTTGAGGAGAGCAAGAATGAAAGATTGACAATGCTCCTCGGAAAAACTAATGATCTTCTTGTTAGATTGGGAGCTGCAGTTCAACGTGAAAAAGATGCCGCACATGACAGTATCGAGCCACTGGATGTCTCGGACACTGATTTACCCAAGCTGTCTACTTCTAAAGCTGATACACCAGCACAATCACTTCCGGATGAAGATGAAGAGGTTGATGATGAAATTGATAACAAAGCAAAGACGGGTGATTTACTGGAAGGACAGCGGAAGTATAACTCGGTTGTACACTCGATCCAGGAGAAGGTATTGTATGATTTTTTTACTGTTTTTTATTTTATCTTTTGAGATATGTTCCGTAGGAGCATTTGTTTGGATCAGAATCAATTTTGAAGTGTTCTGACAGTTTCTAAGTTCAAGTTTCAGTGCAATATGTCAGAAATTGTTTGCCTTGTTTTTATTGCCAACTCGTATGTCTCTTCTCTGTAATGATCATTCTTAAAATATTTTTGGTATTCAATGGCGAAAAAATAAGGAGATTTTAGAAAAGGAACCGTCACACATTATATCATGAAACTCGTCCAGAAACAGGGTGGGACTTGTCGGGATCTATGATTCTTTTTCCTTTTGGGTTCTCTTCCCTCTATGAACTGTTTTGTTCTTTATGCTGAAACCCATTATAACCGCATAAGGAAAATGGCTACGGCAGTTGTTACCTTTTCTCTTACTCGTATACTCAATCCATGCATTCACATTGTTGTACACTTCAAGAAGTGGGGTATTCTCTTACTTCACTTTTATCCGGAGTTCATGTTCCTGGACAGTATTATCCGCTATGTTCTATAATGAAACACTAACAAACTAATTTTCTTCTATGTAATTTTTAATCTGATGTGAAGGGCATTTTACTGTAGGTCACAGAGCAACCGAGCATGCTTCAAGGTGGAGAGTTGAGGCAGTACCAATTGGAAGGGCTTCAATGGATGCTGTCGTTGTTCAACAACAATCTGAATGGGATCTTAGCAGATGAGATGGGGTTGGGGAAAACGATTCAAACTATTTCCTTGATTGCCTATCTCATGGAGAACAAAGGCGTGACTGGACCCCACTTGATTGTGGCTCCGAAAGCTGTCCTTCCGAACTGGGTCAACGAGTTCACTACCTGGGCTCCGAGGTCTATATAGCATTTCAAATCTCTCATGGGTGTCAGTGTTTTTGTGAATTAAATATTTTAAGCTTTGATGATTTTTCTTTCCCAGCATTTCTGCGGTTCTGTATGATGGACGTATAGATGAGAGGAAGGCCTTGAGAGAGGAATATTCGGGAGAAGGAAAGTTCAATGTTTTGATTACCCATTATGATCTGATCATTAGAGACAAAGCCTTTCTTAGGAAAATACACTGGCATTACCTGGTTGTTGACGAAGGGCATCGTCTTAAGAATTATGACTGTGTTTTAGCACGGACTCTGGTTTCAGGGTAACATCTCTAGTACTTTTTGTTCTAATATTATAGAATTGACAATATTATTGATTTTTAACTTGAATACTTTTATCTGTTTGGGGGTTGTGGGTTCAATTTTACCTCGCTTGACTTGTTATCTTTTTTCGTCCATCCTAAATATAGGCTTGTTTCGTTTTAGTCTTTTAGATCAAAGGACTAATGTACCTTATTTAGTTCTTTCACTTTATTTGATTTTATTTGTTGGGATACTAAAAGTCAATGTAGTCATTAAATTTAATGCAAGCAATTGAGGAAGATTAGCAAAAGATATTACATTCACAAGTTCTTATATTGTATGTTTTTAATCTATATGATTTTTCCTCCATGCCTATCTTAGGCAGATGGGGGGAATATTTTGCTGTGTGATTATGAAGTATGAACACACTCTTTAGGCTAGGTCTAGTCTGGTCTGTCTATTTATGATTCCCTCGTCCCAATCATATAATATAGCTGGATGATTTGTTCCTCAGGTCAATAAATTGTTTGAAAACTGTGGACTTGTTTACGTTTATTTTGAGTTGGTCTAGCTTAATGAAGTCTATTAGTTATGAAATGGAAGTGATTCACACTAATTTTCTGCAGTTACCGAATTCGGAGGCGGCTCCTTTTGACTGGGACTCCCATCCAGAACAGTTTGCAGGAACTATGGTCCCTGCTTAATTTTCTCCTTCCGAACATTTTCAACTCGGTCGAGAACTTTGAGGAGTGGTTTAATGCTCCCTTTGCAGACAAATGTGACGTCAGCTTAACTGACGAGGAACAGCTGTTAGTCATTCGCCGCCTGCATCATGTAAATTCTTTTTGGTTCTTTAAATATGTGTTATTCCACATTTTTGTAAGGTCTGCTTTTCATATTTTGCTTGTGTTATATGCACCCAGGTCATAAGGCCATTTATTCTGAGGAGGAAAAAAGATGAGGTTGAGAAGTTCCTACCTGGTAAAACTCAGGTAATATTAAAGTGTGATTTGTCCGCGTGGCAAAAGGTATATTACCAGCAAGTGACCGAGCAGGGGAGGGTTGGTTTGGCTCATGGTGAGTTGTTTCAATTTTAAGCCTCTTCCTTTATCACTCTTAGATAAACCCAGAGTTTCCTTTCTGTATCTAAGTGTCATTCTCTAGTGCTTCAGAATCCTATGTATTCATGTGCTCTTCGCAGTAGGTTAGGCTATCATTGTAGTTTAGGATGTAGGGTAGGATATTTATGTTGTTAGGACTTGGGTTAGAATATCCATGTAGGTTGTAGGTTAGGACTTAGAACTTAGGTTCGGATATTCATATAGGTGAGGACTTAGGATAGGAATATCCATGTAGATTGTAGGTTAGGACTAAGAACTTAAGTGTGTACCCATGTGGATTAGAACTTTTAAAAACGTAACACTTGACTATCTGAAACTATAAATGTGTTTTCTAATTATGTAGTATTTTTATTTGTTATCTGTTTTCTACACACGTGTCATTTTAAATAAAACTGATGATGCAGTTTTTAAAATAACTCTACTGTATTAAAAATTACTCTGGTCCTGTGTGTTACACGCTATGTCAATTTAAATAAAACTAATAATGCAATTTTCAAATGAGTATCTGAAAATTTATAATAAATCCTA